TCAGAGTTGCTGCATAGGCAAATATATATATAAAATAAAACTCGTAGAGATGGTAATAGATTTGCCTCAAAATTTATTAAGAAAATAGACGAGATCTTTCGGGCGTAACCCTTTATCAAGTCAGTGTATATATATATATACTGTTAAATAACACGCCAATATTTATTACCTTGTATTTTGCACATACCACAGTATTCTTTAGAGCATCTAGCTTCTTCCCAGTCATATCCTTTTGATTTGTCAATTATGTGGCATCTCTCATTATGATGTGTTTCGAGGTCGGTTGCATTAGACATATAATCAACTGAACTGTTATCATTCCAATAGTAAGAAGTTGATAAAGTCACATCTATTCGCTGGAGGCCTACATACACATGACCGTAATTAGAAGCTTCAACAAGGTGCTTGACAAAGTTGTCTTCCTCCAGTGAATGGATTGATAAAAGTGTAGCATTTATTGATTTACAGTTTTTCACCGCATCGTCAAAATCAGTATTGTTGCATTCAATTGTATAACATGCGTTTTGAAACACAGCTTTTGTGCACATTACTATAATATACAAATAATAATTGTTGCATGATTTCTATACATAAGCATAAATATAGCACATGCTTTTAGTATTATCTTTTGTAAAAGTTTAGAAGAAAGTGTAGTTCATTCAAAATGAAAATTAGCAACTGTTGTTCCGATATACCCTCAGTTTTCTTTTTTCAAGTCAATTTCAATAATAAATACGTTTTAGCGCTCATATTCATTTGAATTAAATAAGAGCTAAAAAATGACAAAATCGGAAAATAAACCAGTAAGTATCCTACAAACAAACCCGAAACAGAGGAGTCAGCATTATCACTCCAATAAGCGCTCACTGGTTCACGACTCACATGAGCTGAAATAACTCAAGTAGGCCTGTTAACTAGCCTAAATTACAAAAAAATAATTAACTAACCCATTTCAGATTGTAGCCCCATCAGATGTGTCTTAAGAGCATGTTTGAAGTCCGATTAGTTTTGAGGGAGCAAAGAGGAACTGATAGGCTGTTCCAGGGTTTGGAGCATCTACAGACAATTATCGATGAATTAAAAGAATGAGGTTCGAAAAACAGTGACTTGCCACTGGAGCGAAGACTGCGTGAGTGGTTTTTTTTCTTACTACGAAGTGGTCACTGAGATAATTGGGACCAAAACCATGTAATGTTTTAAATACAATTAATCAAATCTTAAGAGTAACTCTTTTGAAATCGAGTGCAAATGAAGTTGCTGAAGTGCAGGTGTGATGTGTTCAAATTTCTTTCTGTGTGCCAGTTATGATTCGGGCAGCTGTGTTCTGTATAGGATGAAGGAAAAAGGTAATGGAACTTGATAGAAATAATATAACATCTCTTTCAGCCTGGTTTTCGCTCTGGTTTGTCAAACACAATACAATTGTTGGAGGTTGTTGACCACTGGTCAAGTATTTTGGATACTGGTGTCTCAGTAACGTAATATTGTAACGTTTCTAGGACCGGGGTCAACAATCAACATTCACACAACAATGACAAGGATGACACACAGACACGTTGTGCATTTCCATTATTTATCTTTATTTTTCTTTCAAAGGTTAATGCATATGGTATTAGAGGGAAAGTGTATAGGACATAATTGCAACAAAACGTGTTTTTTTATGAATATATTATAGTTCAATTTTATATCTACAACACACAAAAATTTTGCCAAAATATACCCACGGGAAAGGTGATTTTTATAGCAAAGAAAACTGAACTATTTTCCGACGCTTATACACCCTGCCTACGATGCTGTGCCTTGGTTACAAAGCGCTTTAATTTGATTTCCGCTGACGTTTTTGATTGGTTAACATATCTTCAACAATCTGCGCGTACTCCTCTAACGCAACACGTATTTAACTATATATATTCATTTAAAAAAAAGACACCAATAACTACCAATAACACGAATATCTATGTGAACTCACACTCCCTTTATAAAAATACAAATTCCCGGATCTAAAGTTATTATAGGCCTAAAAACTGAAATAGTAAACGGACATCGAAGTAAAAATGCTACAAGAAATTTGCATCATCTTGTAAGAAGCACGATAATACGATGCACGCAAATGAAAACATGCACGAAGAACAGAAATAATCTGTGTGTGAAAACAAAAGTAGAATCTAGAATCACACAATACAATTATTTTGAACGATTTTGCCTTCAATGCAATATTTTAAACCTCAATATTCATAAATGTGTTTAGGTAAACTGGGGGATTTACTTAGGGGCGGATCCAGAGATGTCCCAAATGGGGGGGGGATACACATCTAGATGTGTATAAGAGACAGCATTTATTGATTGACAGTTTATGTGTTCTAGACGCCCGAAAATAACCTCTGAGACATTTTGGAGGATCATTTTTTTCTTTTACTTTCTTATTTTAGCTTCCAGAAAAAAAAAAAAGGGGGGGGGGGATGTCGAATTATTTAACGTGTAGGCTTGACACCTTGACCTCTAATGATTAGTGTCCAAAATTTACTACAAACTCGTAAAATGTAATAATGACCTATTATCATTATTATATAACACTTTCGGTATACAATTATAAGCCGCTCCAAGTTTCTTTTATATTCTTCTTCCTTTCTTTGCTTTTTACATATTGACGTTAGATTTATTTAACCAGTTAACATACTTACGCATATATTTAACACTTCATTTTACGTAATCTAACAGGACTATAGGTAGTAGGCTAATGCATGTACAAATTGTGTCTGTATTTAACATTTTTCTATTTTTGTCAATTTAAACCAGGCGGTATGGCCTGGTCTCGACCCTCTAACGTCACTATTAGATAGGCTTATCTTCATAAGACTTCTCTAATGGATACCCTGTTCGAAGCAAGAAATCAAGTTGTCTTTACCCTGTACCACTCGTTTATATTATTCGGTGGGGTATTTTTCTTATTGACATCATCCCTTAACCTTAACGTTAAAGTCGTCCACCGAAAACTACCTATTATCTCAAATACCATACCTTCTGCAACTTGCTTGACACTTACTGACTCTCAAACTCTTTCTCGTGACGTCGTTAAGCCACTGTTGTATTCCACACCAATAATTTATATTTTATTGATTTTTACATTTTTGCTATTGCTCAACTAAATTTAAAATCATATCCATACCTTGCGAGTCTTCAATAAATAGGCACGTCAAAATTAGAACCAGTAAACGATTAATTGAGACAGAAAATCGGCAACCTGCTAACATTTTGACTGAAGCAGACATCTCCAAAATTATGTTCCCCGCGTGCTTTTCAGATGTTCAAGTACAGTACTAATCCTTAATTCAATTCAAGTGCGTCTCGTCACTAGCGTAGGCTCCACCCATTAAAAACGAGTTGTTGTCATGGAAATGTTTAGGCCTAATCATTTCTCCTATGAATCAAAATGTCAACTTCTCACCGTCATCATATCCATTAATATAATAATCTTATATTCAACCCACTAAACTTTCACAAATACAGGGGATATTGTCAAATGGGAGTTAGTATTTTAATATAGATTAATTTAGTAAGAACGATGTTTAGAATTTATATCGTACTACGTATCACATCACCGTTTTATAGTCAAAATGAAGCTCTAAGAATGATCTTTTAGCAGCGATTTTCGGCAACTTGCAACCATAGGATCTATTAACGTGTGATGTACCATGGAAATAAATTAAAAACATTTGTCTTTGATGTATTTACTTTATCCACTCCAAACCGATTTCAGCCCCATCATTGTTAGTGCTGAGGTATGAAACAAGGAGGAAATAGCACCTTTACATTTCTCCAACGTTTAGATTCATTTTAAGAATTCGAGCATAATATAAGAAATAATAATTATATTATAGATGTCAATTATTAATTTTTCATTGCCGTACTATTTAACCGATATCGATTAATCGATATTTCGTCCTAATATTTTAATATTATGTATGGCAGTCCGCCATGTAATGCTCAAGTTGGTATTCCCGATTCCAATGTTATGTTCCGGATGCAAAGACTGGATCTTCACTATGTAATATTGTAGTGATATGACAAGCGAGATGGTTTACTTTCAATAACTGAACTGACTACATCTCTTGTGGTTATAATGCAAAGCGTTTATTCAATGCTACTATTCTACTGCATGATACACAAGTAGGGTTGTGAGACGTGAGCCTTCAAGGTATCAGAAGGAAGTCCTCTCTAGATAACTAATACTTTACTTTTCATACAAGCTTGGGGTGTAGTGGACTTTCTCTGATTGGTTGAAAGATATCACCTTATCCTAATCATTTGACTATTACATCATTTTGGGGAGTTTCTATTGGTCACATAATATAACAACTTTGGGGGTAGAACTTAACTTATATTTAGTAACAAGCTGTCTCTCAATTGAGCTTATTTTATAAATCAAATGACCACTTGGGCTTGTCGTCACGAATTGGCTATTGTCCTGTCAAAGATTTTATATACAATAATTAAGGAGACATTCAACAGGTATCTAATGGGTTAGTGAGGTAAAAATTCAGTTCAGTGGTATAGTTGAATTGGCCTATATAGTGTTGGTTATCTTAACACTATATAACAATATCTCCTTTATCTCTCTATCCATCCCTCAATCGCTATGTGTTCAGTATACTAGGGGCTGATGATCTACCAAACATTTTCAAAATTAAAAAATTTAGGATAAAATATTGATCAATTCAAACACTACAAAATCAGCTTTTCGTTTTCAAGAAGTTACAAAGAAATACAAACTTTAGCTTTTTTCAAAGATTCATTTGAAAATAATATGGCAACTAATGCAAAACATTGGCAACTAAAATAAGCCGTTTTTTTTTTTTATTACTTTTTTATTATTTTACCATCTTACGGGTTCTCAGCGGGTGAAGTAAAGGAGCACGATTATTACGATGCACGTAAATTATAATTGTTGTTGTATATTAATATATTCAAAATCTAAATATAATAATCTGTGTGAAAATAAAAATTGAATCTGCACACAATTATAATTATTTTGAACGGTTTTGACAATGCCTACGATGCAATCTTTTCTACTTGAATATTCATAAATGTAAAGAGGGAATTCGCTCTGATACTAAAATACTGCCCCTTTTGTGACACAGTGTCCCAACACTTTCTCGTGACCTCGTTAAGGCACTGTTTGTATTCTACAACAATAAATAATAATCTATTTACATTTTGCCATAATAGCCATAGCTATTTGTGGATTTCAAATACTTCTTAAATCTATACATTTCAGGTCTAACAATAATATATAAAACACTGTTATTCTGATTTGTTTTCAAATATTCGTCATATTCATAATACCATCCAATTTCAATGTTCCCTGATAATACAGACCGGCTTTAACATGCTCTCTAGAGATGTTAACATCCTGGAATGAGGTGCTGTACTACCAGATCAAGCTTATTAAAGCTCAGTTTTACCGAAAAAAATTGAAAGTTACTGTGGTAAGTGCACATTTATTTTAGAGTTATTGCACTATTTATTTGAGTTTTAGTGTTCATTTGAAATCAAGTATAATGCCTGAATGTGGTAGGCCTACCTGGTTAGGCATAAGATAATTAAACAAAATCAACGGATAACACCCACAGAATTTAGTTTGAATAATTGTTTCCAAGTTTGATTTATAGGATTTCATAACAACATTACTAATTCGCTTAATATACCGTAATATGTTTCTTTGCCTGAGGCATATAAACTTGAATATAGCCACATTTATTTTATTCATATTATGTGGTGAACCATACCATATGAAGTCTTAACGTCAGTGCTTTTCGGTGTATATATTATTATTTATTCTATGTCATTTAAAAGCCAACGTATTACATAATAAAAACCAATATATATATATATATATATATATATATAGAAAAATATGGAGACGATGGTAAATGAAAATACAGACATCGAAGGTAGACTTAAGGAACACAAAAATATTTATTTATAAGTTTCACTTATATTTCGGTTGTTCCTACAACCTTCTTCAGCGTGTAAGTGAAGACATAACCAAATAGCTTAGACAGATCATCTTGTCACAGTAACATAATAACAAAGGGTGTAGAGCGAGTTTCTTATAATCTTTTTTGTATGGGTGGCCGTTAGGGCCAAAATACGCTACTGCCTCTATTATATAACTGCCCTCATCCGAGCTTTCGAGATTACGAGAACTTGTTTTACTTTACCTAATGGTGTGGCTAGTAAAATTACTGTTGTATTAAAAAAAGGAGGAAGACTCAGAAAAATTGAAAAATGGTATTACAAGAATCATCAATTACAAATTCAAAACCTCATACAATTATATAGGTGTTATCTTTAATTCAAATGGATCATGGAACACTGCTATTGAACACAACTGTCAAAAAGCAAATCAAGGTTTATTTTGTTTAAAATCATTTATTCACCGTAACTTAACATTCATACCAATCAGTACATGGAACTTTCTTTTTGACGCCAAAATCCTCCCCATTTTAATTTACGGAAGCGAAATTTGGGGATTGTTCGATAATTCCAATATTGAAAAAAACCCATATAAAATTTTTGTAAATATTTATCAGAAGTTGGAAATAATGCACCAAATGTCGCTGTTATCTCGGAAATGGGGAGACTACCGCTTAAAATAAATTGTTTAATGACCGTTATTAGATTTTGGTTACACATTATTTCATTAAATCATGATAAATTTGTATTTAAATGCTATGAGTTTCAGTTGAGAAAAGTTAGTAGAAACGAGAACTGCTGGGCACTACAGGTTAAACAATTACTTTGTTTTAATGGATTTGGTTACATTTGGTTTCAACAGTTTGTATACGACAAAACCTCTTTTCCGAATGAATTTAAGTTGTGTCTTTGTGATATTGAAAAACAAAAAGTGTATTGAGAAATTTAGTTTATATTCTAGACTTAGGTTATTCACTCTGTATAAAAAAGAAATAAGCTTAAGCTATCATTATACGAATGTTAGTAATTTAAAACACAGACGGTTATTGACAAAGTTAAGGTTAGGCATACTGGAACTTGAGATTGAAAAGGGGAGGTGACAAAAGAATCTGCAAGATATGTAATAACAATATTATTGAAGATGAATTTCACTTTATTTTACAATGCCCATATTATGCTGATTTAAGGAGCAAATATATTCCAAAATGTATTTACTTATATCCATCTATTCACAAGCTCTGTCTATTATTTTCAAATACAAAATATATTAATAGTTTAGCAAAATACGTCTACTTCGCGTTTGAAAAAAGAAACAAATGTATTATGTTACAATAAATTATGTTTAGCATTAGGGCCAACGGCCCATGTACTTGAATAAATTCCCTGAATAGGGAATGAAAGAATGTAGTTAATGATATTAATATCAATTAACTGAACCGATATTAATTACCGATATTGCGTCTAAAAGAATTATGTCAAAAACTAACAATATACAATGGAGCACATCTTGTGTTTTATTAAAATTGTGAAGGTAATGTATTTTCTTCTATAGTTATAGTTGCAGTTTAGTTGGTTGCAACCGGTACATACCTACTGTAGGCCTATCAAGTGTGCATTGATGGAATTTTTTTTTCAAGTTTTTATATGTAAAATGTCAGGAACCCATTACCTACCTGTGGACTTAACACGATGCATACCAGGAATATAGCAAGTCCTTGGCTTCCGTTCAAAATAACGAACATATAGGAGAAAAACGTCGTTGCTTTGTTGAAAGCAAATACACCAAACAACCAAGTAACACCCAATAACGGCACGAGTATGAGGGCGCCCTTCACAGCTTTCCTGTCATATCAAGTTAATTTAATAATCAGAATTATATTTATACATATACATAATGATAACTATTAATAGTATTATCTATGCTGAGGCCTTTCATTTGAGTTTTCTGTAGTTGGCATACATGTAAATGCATATAGGCTATATTGGAGCATTACATTAAGAGATATATACACATAGTAAGACAGCTCAACAAAAGACAACACCGTAGCAAGCAAGCAATAGGTCCTAATAACAATTGTGATTTTAATAATAATAATAATAATTATTATTATTATTATTATTATTATTATTATTATTATTATTATTATTATTATATGATATTAAACATACGATCGCATATACCTACTTACCCAGTCATCGCAATCTCCTTCTGTTGTTGAGCTGTCTTATGTCCTTTGGAACGCACGTAAATTGTTTTAGCAACTTTGAAAATAAGAGCTAAGTTGGCCTGTCAAAAATATACAACACGGGTAATATAAAATACAAATTAAAATGAGGGGAAAACTCCCAATGACAAAAATACTCTTTTCTTTCCTACATCATCTCGATTAAGGCGTAGGACCACTTCTAATACGTATCTCTCTTTTTTAGCATCATCGGATACATTTCTAACGTTAGGATCGGTATTATTCATACCTGTGCGTTTTTTAACTTGAAAGGAATAATCTATAGTTTGTAATTGAGAGCTAATCTACTTGTCAGTGCCGTCTGTACTTGGGGGATCGTGGATTCTACTCGAACTTCTATCCAAGAATGCTTTATGTAAGTCTTTGTGTGACAAAAAAAAATGCCCGTAGACGACCTCCTGCTATAACTAAACTGATTTAATATTGAACATGCTTTTAAGTATGTTAGTTCAAGCATGGTTTAAATAAGATAGGACAGATATCATTATTATTTATCATGTTGTTTTCAAAGACTGCTTACCAAACATATTATCAATGCTGGTCCTGAGAACGCCCAGATGTGGCCATTAGACGGAGTTAACCAACACCTGGATTTGAAACATAAGAAAATTATTACTAAAATTGCTGATTTTAGTAAAAGATTACCAGAAATAACAGTATACCAAGAAAAATATTATAAAAAACACGATGTTAATTAAAATTTATTTTGTTCGAATGACCACTGAAGAAGAATCTATGTTTTCTATTCTAACAGATTAATTAAATTAATTTCCGTAATTATTTAGGCCTTAAACCTAGGATGTACAGTGTCGTTATCAATGCAGTACCTTTGCAATTGTTGTAGTTTTTATCATCGTTTTTGGCGTTATTATATATATTACTATAAATAAATATATACAATTCCTTGTTCCCTCTTAAACCAAATCTTACTGTTTTGTTGTTGACAATTTCGCCTGCTATCAGTCAGGCTTCGTCGTAAGTTATTATAAATGTCATTATCATTACCACGGTGCAGTTGTATAATATGACTGCTTCCTCATCATTGCCATTAATACCAAATTAACAATAGCACTGTCATTTCCAACACCATTATCATTGCCATCTTCACCATCATCATCTGCATCATCATCATCATCATCATCATCCTCAGCATCATAATCAGCTGTATTGTCATCATTATTATTATAGTTAGTATAAACCTATTATGGTTGTTGTAGTAATATTTATGATTTAATATTATTCTTATGAACTCACGCATTGTCAGTACCAAATCCATCAACATTGCAAGCAAGGGCGACCCCAACGACTAACATCGGTGCACCATAACAACAAATAATGTATACAGATATCGTTCTGTAACGGACACTGGTCCCGTTGATATCGAATATTTTGTAGTAGAGATAAACGGCTTCAGCTAACATCCACATGAACACGGCGAGTAGCAGGTAAAGAAGAGCGGCCGCTATGACTGTGCACCCGACCTGATTAAGGAAGAAAATCTGTTTCAATAGAGATAATTTGTTAGTTGCCTGAATAAATATACATGATGATTCAGGCAAAATGTATGTGATACATACATAAAAACAAATAGTTGTGTAGGCCTAAATACAAACAATGATGTATGTATGTATGAAAAATATGTTTTTGGAGATCTCGTTCAGACGCTTAATACGAGGGCGCGTATTATGTTTACCTCTGTTTTAGCGGTGCATCGATAACTTAGTGCCGTTCAACTATGCATGTACAAAGAGTGTAAATAATAATTGCCTTAATCGGATCTGAATTCTTAACTAAGCCGCATTGGCCCATGCGATTAAGCCATCTGCATGGACAGCAGAAAGTCCTAGATTCAAATCATGGTTTAGGCAATAGTTTTCAAGAATTGAAAAATAAATAATAAAGCATAGTAGCATAGGCTAAATGATCTTACGTTACTCGATGTTTTGTCGGTGCCTCCCAGAAACAGTATGTGCGACAGAGCCAATGTGATCATCAAGTGTTTATGAATACTTGTACGGACACATTTACTGAGTTTTCTAGAGAAATTAATAAACACAATTCAGGAGTCAATAATTCAATTTACGTCATCGGGGCCTGTGTGTTAGTATTGAACTTAATCATACAATAAAATGTGTCGAGATTTTTGTGCCATCGTCAATATCAAATCATATCGCATAAATAACTTATTGAAATATATATTAAGCCTACAATGTAATCTTATTTCAGATTTATTCATATCTTGAGGCTTCAAACGCCATTAAATCTTCAAATTGCACACACAGAAAAAAAAATTTCCGCGTAGTTGAATGTTGAACATTTATGCAAGCTCCTGGCCATGTTTAAAATAAGAAAAATAGTAATTCGGATGAGGCTTGTAGGAAAATCATTAACTCCACAGTACAGTTACAATAGTCAGTCAATGTCACATGACCACTACATTCGCCTATTAATGTACTATGCCTCTCTTACACCAATGCGCGCCGTAAATGGCACACGAGCCTACACGCTACATTACAGCCAGTGACATGGTTGAGATCACTCGATGTTGAAATGTGTGGCCGATAATCATCTTTCCAACCAAAGTCATTGTTTTAATTCGAAGATGGACAGCCATAATACCTGCTAATACACATTGGTTTAAAATCGAGTTTAATTCAAACTATGAGAGATGCGTTTTAATAACGTCCTACGGAATTTTAAGTCTATCTCTATCTTCGCACGATATAGAACAATGTGTGTAAACACATGCTTATAAAAGACATTCATACCTCAAACAAAATAGAATGAGAACTCCAAATATGAGAGCCACAGTGGAAATGATGAGAAGTACTTGCGAAAGGACGGTCAAAGTGACGTCATTGAAACTGGAAACCTGAAAATATATCTCAGTCTATTGGAAAACCGCAAGTTCAAGTGTCGCATTTTGTATAGTCTCACGTAATCATATCATAGGTGTGAGACGAATCATGTGACCAGAGCCACATTTTTTTTTAAATTCAACATTTCATTAAAAAAAGTTACATAGACATTGACAGAAAAAAAAACCGGCTCCCAATGGGAGCGTGTGTGCATGCTCCATACTGCCCTACTTGGGGCCTTACTGTATTATGTTTACTAATAAAGTATCTACATGGGGATTCGGTTCAAGAAATGTGTGGTGTATTTTTTTATGACTTTTGTACAGTAATAACGTACTTAAGAGGACACATGACCCATCATGCACCTCCACCGTCTTTAATTGCCAGATCATGCCCCGAGGGGGCAGAGACACAAAAAGCACAATTTTCAGAAACAAAAGCATTTTTCTCAAACTCAAAATTTGTGTTAACAACAGTGAAGTAAAATAAAGCCACATCAGATAATTATTATTTGTATAGGCCTACAAAATAAAGCTTTACCTTGTTAAGAAATTCGATATAAACAAGAAGAAAAAAAAGAATCTACATTAATTGTATCAGGAAATAAGATTTTCTTAAATCTCTTCATATGTTCTTTATTTGTTTTCTGTATATTTTATGCTTTTATTTTTTTTTCTTATTTTTCTTATTGTTATATAATTATTTTTTTCTTCTTTTTTATATATATTTTTATTCAAATTCATTTTTCTGTATTCTATTTATTACTTTTTACTTTCTTTTAATTACTTCAAAGCACAATAAAAAAAATGTCATGTGAAATGTACTAATGAAACAAGAAGAAAAAAAAATCATTATTTGTCAACAATCAGGACAATAAAAAAGCAATCAATGTATAAGGAGCCTCTACAGAGTATAATGTCCCCAATGTAAGGAATTTATACAATTTATATCTTTGTATACAACTACTTCTTTAACATTGTACAGGAATTCGATAAAAGTAAAAAGGGAAAGAAAGAATACATTAATTCAAATACATTAATACAAATAGAAAATAAAATAAAATAAAATTTTCTTTATTTGTTTTCTTTTTGTTTTTATTTTTTATGGTTTTTATTTTATTTTCATTATTTTCCTTATTTTTATATAATTAATTTTCCGCTTTTTCATTCTCCTCTTTCTTATATCTTTCCTTTGTTCTTTTTTATTTAGTATTTTATTTGTTACATTCCATTACGTATCCTTAATTACTTCCAAACACATAAAAATAGACATATTAAACGTACTCATCATACAAAATTGTCACATTATTCATCTGTTATAGCGTTATGTTTTTATGGTACTTTATTTACTCTCTGTTATACTATTACGCGCCACAGTTGCTTAGCAACACATAATGTGAGTTAATAATTTTTAATTTAATGAAAGGAGTTTTTCACTTAACAGGGAGCTTGAGTTGTCGCATGTCATACAATTTAGCATCGCTTATGATTAATGATGAAAAACACAAATTATGACAAAAGTTAATAATCAGTTTTTCCCCCAAACCTTGTTGTCTGTAACTTGCACTAAAATACTGTAGCTTGTAGTATGGTTACACACACAGCTGGTTTCTGTTTGAGAAGCATTTGTCACCTGACATCCCTTGTCCGACCAAACCCTTACAAGTAAAAAAAGTCAAATAGTAATGACGTGAAGCCCATTCATTTTCCGTACACTGAATTAATTGATTCTGCTAATAAACTTGAAGAATATTTTTCAACCATGACTAAGGAATTGTTTCCCTTCAATTCAAACTGCCTAATAAATTAATCGATGATATGATGTTTCTTTTAGTAAATGTTTCTGTTAATCAGCAAAAACTCATTTTGCTCCATCTCTCTCTCATTTTGGAAGTTGAAAAACTTATTTGATGTATGGTTTTTAGGGTGACATGCTTCCTTCACATTTTACCACAAAAAATAAGGAAAATTTAAATTAATTATGGAAAAAGTACGACATATAAAATGTGATCTATTTTTGCTTTTTTATATAAATTAAGCAACGTTTAGGGCCAGAACATACATACTGAGAATGGCAATACGCGCAGAAGCAGTGGCGGAACAAGAAATTATTATACGATATGAATAGTTTTAAGACATTCCACTGTCAACCGAATCTGAAAATTTAAGATCAAAGTTTTACAATTAGGACTAAACATGCTTTCAAAATAAAAATTGTTATATTTTTGCTCACATTTTGTTTATATCCCAGAACATGCAGAATACCTTATCTTCGGTTATCTACAATAAATCGATCAATACTTATCAATAATCAAAAATCAATACAAAGGGTTATACAGTTATTAGAAATCCTGTTCAATAGAAAATCATTAGAATTACTAAGTTGTTAAAAAAATATTGAATTCTATAACGGTAGGCCGACAACGCAATAAAACGTCACCTTTCCCCCATGCTTTAAATTATGATATACTAAAAGACCTTTTCAGCTTGGCCCCGTCCCATAGACATTATTGCCAGTGGTGGCGCCAGGATTTGCCCGACGAGGGTCCAAGATCCCCAACGGGGGCGGGGGTGGAGATGTCCCAAACAAAAAAAGTGGGCGTGGTCGGGCGTCTCGAAATTGTTCCAGTGGGCGAAATATATGACAATTTAGGGATTTCAAGGCTTATTTAATCGGTTTTGGGCTACTGTATATTTAATATGTAAACAAATACATATACATTTTTTTTTCTCCCCGAATTGTGGCTATTGTGATGACG